TGTGTGTGTGTGTGTATGGGTTGCACATGTGGCGAGACAAGGTGGGAACATTATTATGCACGTGTGGCGAGACAAGACGGGCATTTATTTTATTATTGCACATATGGCGAGACAAGGTGAGTTGTGTCAGGGATTGATTTGTGATGATTTGTGATGGTCTGGGGGCATTGTTGTTGTTGATATTGTGTAGTGGTACACCTACCTGTGTGAGCTTTATCTTGTGAAAGCTATGAGAAAATATTCTACGTGTTGTCCGTTCTTTTTCCTTATGCTTATTTGCTGGTATGGACTATGTTAGGACACTTGCACAAACATACACGTAGTTAAGAACTCTTATCGGATAAGAGGTGTTCTTGATACTGTGGAACATAGATGCTCACCCTTGTTTACTTGCCTTATATGTGAGAATGGCTCTATTGGCACGTGAGTCGTCAGTGCGGTTATGAGGTGTTATAAGGGCACAGGATGCCAAGTGTTAGGGTTCAGGTATTGAGACCCGTAAGTTATGATTTGTCCGAGGTTCGGTACCTCATGGAGTTTAATGACTAAAACCTTATGTAAAAGCGGTTGTAGTTGCTGAGTTATTACTTGTCCTTGCCGTATTTGTGATTCCAGATTTAGGTTATGTTCCATTCACTTTTCTGTGTCATTTTTATGGTATTCCGCTGATACTTGTTGTTTCCTTTCTTATTGCCATTATTGTATTGTGAGCCATATTGCATAGTCTTTATGTAGATATCATATTTCTGTTGTTCCCATACTCATACTTGTTCAGTTTATTAGACCAGTGGGTGTCTTGACTGTTCCTCGTCACTACTCTACCGAGGTTAGTTTGATACTTACTGGGCACCGTTGTGGTGTGCTCATTCTACACGTCTGCACATTTTTGTGCAGATCCAGGTATGTGTTCGTTAGTAGTTATGCGGGTCGTTGCTGTGGAGACTCAAGGTAAACCTGCTGTTGTGTTCCCAGGCTTCGGAGTCACCTTCAAGTTTTTATTTTGCACTGTTTATTCTTATTTCTAGACAGTTGTATTTAGAAGTTTTCTAGCAAACACTCTGTAGAGCTTATGACTTCTACTATCGGTTTTGGGAATTGTAAATTTTAAGAGATTTCTATTTCAAATTGTTGGATGTTATTTAGATAATGTTGTTGTTTCAATTAGTGTTAGGCTTACCTAGTCCCTAAGACTAGGTTCCATCATGATACCCAAACGGAGGGGAATTTAGGTCGTGACATATCCATGTTTTCTCTACTTGTGTGATCATTTGAGCTATGATTCATGTTAGAAATCATGTCTAGGCTATGTGCCTGTTTGTTTGACACATAATAGGGCTATTCTTGTTGTTTTAAGTTGTTTGCCTTAATTGTAGTCATATCCTCAGTCATAATTCTTCATCTGCATGTTATGTCTCGGTCTCTGTACTTTATTTGTTAGTCATATCACATATTGTTGTTGCCTTCTATGTGTTATACTGTTTAGGCTAAGTTCTATGAGATGTGAGCCATTGAGACTTGAGCGGTTGATGACTGATGTGGGCCATAGAGCCGTGTTGTGAGTGATATTTGGATCGGGTTGCACGCCGCAATAGATTGATATTTGTATTGGGTTGCACGCTACAACGGTTATATGATTATTGACTAGTGCTTGGGCCGAGAGTTTCCCCTTCGGAGTCTGATATTACAGTGAGCGCGGGCACAGTGATATATATATATATATATATGCGCTTTGGTAAGGGGCATTTGTGCCAAGTACCCGTACAGTGCTAAGTGTAGTTGTGTTTGTAATGGTGAGGGCTTGTGCTAGGCACCGTGAACATGCCTGTGATGATATTGACTCATGTATATTTGACATGTAAGCATAGAGATGTATTTTCCTCATGCTAGCTGGTAAATGAAATGTCTTATCCGTGTTGGGCTTTGATTGTTATACTTGGAAAGCACGTATTAATTTCCCATAATTGTAAACGACCTGAACATGATATCCTTGAGTTATGTACTTTTACTGTCTTCGTTATATCCTGAGTTGTTATTAATTATTGATGATTGGGCACTAACTTTTCTTCTAAGTGTATTACTGCTTTCAGCCCAAGGTTAGGTTTGTTACTTATGGAGTACATGGTCAGTCGTACTCATACTACACTTTTCACTTCATGTGTAGATCCAGGTACTTCCCGGCACGGTGATTGCTAGAGTTCACATTAGTACCAACTTGTGGAGACTACGAGGTAGCTGTTATATCATTCGCAAACCTTGGAGTTCTCTTTCATTTATTTCTGTTATTACTGTTCTATTGTTCAGACAGTTGTATTGAGGATTTGGCCTTGTATTTTGACATTCAGTAGTGCTCATGTACTCGTTGACACTAGATCTTTGGGATGGTTGTAGTTTTGTTATCATTGTTTTTCACAGATATTTTATGATATTATCGTTGTTGAGGTTACTAAGCTTTTGTTAATTTAGTCATTGTTATTGTGAAACTGTTGGCTTGTGTAGCAAGTAGTGTTAGGCATCATCACGGCTCCTGTGGGAGTTTGGGTCATGACAAAGGTTGTATTAGAGCACTAGGTTGCCTAGGTCTCACGAGTCATGAACAAGTTTAGTAGAGTCTTGTTGATCAGTATAGAGACGTCTGTACTTATCTTTGAGAGGCTACAGAACTATTAGAAAACTTCACTTTCTTGCATTCTTATTGTGCTGATTTGTTAATTCTGAAGTTTGAACCTTTAATCTTCTATTCTCTCACAGATGGTGAGGACACGTTCTGCTGATCAGGCACTAATGCCACAAGTCAGGGCCACGAGAGGTCGGGCCGAGGTGGGCTCGCACTACAGCTAGAATAGCACCCGTGGAGCCACAAGTTGCTCCAAAGGAGGAGCAGGTTTCGGATAGTATTGAGCCGGTGGGACCAACTCAAACACCGGTGGTGCCTATTGCTATACTTGGTCTTCAAGAGACTTTGGCTCAGATCTTGAGTGTGTACACGAGCTTGGCTTCGGTGGGTATGATACCGGTTGCACCAGCTACCTTACAAGCTGGGGGAGTAGCCTAGACTCCCGCTGCCCATACACCGGAGCAGCTAGCTCAGGGTTATCAGACACCAGCGGTGTTACCAGCTCAGCCAGTTGTTGCTGCTCGGTCTGAGGTTGGTCCATCTATGTCCGATGAGGGGCAGAAGAGCTTGGGCGATTTAAGAGGCTTGATCCTCCCAAGTTCAGTGGAAGAGAGGATTCTCTGTGTTTTCTGGATTGGTGTCATCGGATTCTTCACACAGCGGGTATTGTGGACACCAGTGGAGTTGCCTTTACTACCTTTCAGCTTATAGGGGCAGCCGATAGATGGTGGCAGACTTATGAGTCAGGCAGGCCAGCTGACGCAACACCACTTACATAACATCAGTTCTCAGTTCTCTTCTTAGAGAAGTTGGGTCCATAGACTCGTAGAGAGTAGTTGCGTAGGGAGTTTGAGCAGCTACACCAGAAGGATATGACTGTGACCTAGTACGAGATGAGATTCGCGGATTTGGCACGTCATGCAGTATGGTTGGTTCCCACTGAGAGAGAGAGGGGGGGGGGGATTATTAGGTTTATTGTTGGCCTCAACTATGGTTACGTTACATTTTGGCTCATGAAGCCGAGACGGATTGATACGAACTATGAACGAAAACACGTATATAGCAAAACATGCGGAATCAAAAATAAGAGCTAGACCTACAATTGATTGGAAGAACAAGAACAAATTAGGATATGAAGCTTAATTAACTCTATGAACTCAATCAATTATAACCATAAGCTATAAAAATAAGAGCTAGACCTACAATTGTTGGAAGAACAAAAATCAATTAGGATATGAAGCCTAATTACCTCAATGAACTCGAACAATTAAAACCTTAAGCCATGAAAACACTCAAGAGATTGGCAACTCTTGAAAACCAGAATAAAGTAATCAAGCAATTATGCATTCACTACTAATTGCTCACCAACTAAGACTAATTTAGCACTAATAAAAGCATAAATAAAGCAATAAAGGAAGTAAAAGCATAAACATAAATGCATTAATTAAAAGATAATGATAAAGTATGAGACTTGCATGTCTTCAAGTTTATCATTCATCAAGTCTACATAAAATAAAAGCCTTAAGGGCTATTTATACTAGAGTAGGTATTTGGCTCCAAATGGCCCAAATACCCCTAAGCTAATTCTAAGAAGCTAGGAGTAGTCAATTATTACAAGTATAGCCTTCTTGATCTTGACTCCTTTAAAGCACTCCAATGTTATGATGTTGATTTGGAAATCCTTAGGCATGCCCATCTGACATGTATCATCCTCCCCCCTTTAAAAGAAATTCATCCTCGAATTTGGACCTTGCAGAACCAAGAAAGGAGCAAACATAAGTACCAAGCCAATCACAATCAAAGCATTGTATGTCTAAGCTAAAAGATCAAATATTACAATCTTGCATTCAAAAGTGACACTCTTATGATATAGCCAAGTGTCATAATCTATAAAGAACACATCTCCAACACAAATGACACAAACTTGACTATAAGAAAAATAATACTCATGAGAAGAATCAAGAGTCTAGAGTTTCATGCTTCCAACAAAACCACAATGTTGTAAAATCCTCAACAAAGTGCACACTTTTATGGTATAACCAAGTGTCATAAGAAGCAATAAAAATCATACTCTCCAATCCAAAGAGAGACACTTCACCATGATAAGAAGCAACTCCAGGGTCAAACACAATTTTTAATCCCCAAATATCTACACTTTCCAACAACTTCACATGACAACTTAAGAGATACGCCAAACTCATCATGAATCATCATACAAAGAATATCACAATACTCAAAGTTAAGAATCTTTACCTCAATGGCCTAAGATAAACACAAGATAAGCATAAGCCAAACGTACATACCATTCTTGCTTTTGGGCAAAAGAAAAAGCTCTTTACAAAAAGTATGCCAAAGTGTTAGTTCAAGGCATTTCTTACCCTTAGCAATTTTCTCTTGTTGAACCTTCACAAAATAATCAATAAAGTTAGGTTTTGTTTTGGCTCAAAATGATCACTCAAAACACCAAAAGAAACATTCTTACCTTTTCTCATATAAGCATTAGCAAAATCCATGGAGAATGTTCTTGCAAAAGTAGAAATAAGATAAGTAAAGTAATTAATACTAATGCTAGCATAAAAAACTTTACTTTTCTTTTCACACTCAACAAAATCATCACATAAATATGCATAAGAGTCATCAAGATCAAATACAAGAGAAATTAACTCATTGGAATACAAATGGAAACTGTCTTCTTTTATTACTATGTCATTATAAGTAACTTGTTCACTCTCCAACAAGGCATCTCCACACTCATATTTGCTCATTTCACCATAAAAAATGAATCTTTTTCCAAAGGAATGCACATAGAATCAAAAGAATCATCAACACATTCTTTCTTGACTCATTTCTTCATAAAGGTCAAAACTTTCTTCCAACAAAGTTAAAGTAGAGTCAAAAGAATCATCACATGCATCATCCCATAAAGGTGGGGTATCATAAGATTCAACATCACACACATCACTAGTTAAGGAGTCATTTAACAAAGAACTAGAATGATCCAATAATGCACAAGAACTCCTAGTTAGTTGCAAGCCATAACTATTTTTCTCATTACAAGATAAAGTATCAAACTCAAAGTGTCAACACAATCAACTAAAGTATCATGAATAGAAGGATAAGCTATTTTACCTTGAAGATCTTCTAAAGTGAAATTATCTTTACCTTGAACTTGCTCATTGAATTTCAAAAGTTCTCTTGAAAAGGTAGCTTGATCTTCTTCCAAGTTCATCAAAGTAGATTGAACTTCACTTGATGGCTCATCTCCAAAAGTTCATTCACAAGATACAAAACAACTAGAGAAAGAAGAAAGGTTATTAGCATTAGAATAACGAAAATCCTCACTCTCTATTTGTTTTCCCTCTTTCTTTTCTCTCATTTTCTTTTCAAGCTCTTCACTCTTTTCTTGTGACAACTCACTCACTTCACTCCACACTTTCTCTCATTTTTCCACTCTAGAGTTGTCACTTTTCTCTCCCTCACTTCTCACTATCTTTTGTCTCTCATCCTTACTCTTTCTCTTTACATTTTTCAAGGATGGTCTCAAACTCATTTGGCCTCTTCCCCTTTGGTTCACTTCATCCCCTCTATATGTGTCATTGAAAACTTGTTGGATGTTGTCCAACTCATTCAAGGTGTCCTCTTGATCATGTTGAAAAAGTGGGTTGTTCATCTTCTGAGGCTCTTGACTAATTACTTATGGTCTAGGTAGTGGTGAAGTTTGATAAGGTTGTACTTGAGGTACTAGTGGTGGTTGATGTGTGGTTTGGGGTTGTAGTTGGTGTTGGTAGTAGGTAGGTGGTCGGTAGTTTGGTGGAGGAAAATAAGGTCCTTTTGGTTATTGTGGTTGCCTTGGTAAGTTTTATGGTCTTTGGTTAGGTTGGTTGTGTTGCAAATTTTCGCTTTGAAGCATTTGCCGCACTTGTGAAGGAGAGGGTGTAGCAGAGGAATTAGTAAGCGTCATACTACGCTCCCTTCCTTGTTGTCTTAAGTGAGATTCCTCTATCACGGAATTCAACCTTGCATCCATTTGGTATTGCCATATGGTAATATTGGTAACTTTCTCACTTATGTTGGTAACCTTCTCACTTATGTCATAAAGCATATATACAACTTCATGCATCGTAGTCTCACTCCTTGGATCACAATTAGGACTAAAAGTTTGTCTGTACTCCATGATACCTACAAAACGAGCAAACAAATTAGTAGTAAAGTCCTCACCAAGCTCACTCGATGTCGCTCAACCCTCGTGTATCACACTTTGCATCAATTGGCTTTTGCGTGCTCAAAGTCCTATTCACTCTTGCCTTTTTCCGCTCAAGTAGTGAATGTCAAAATTGCTAGCAAACTTAAGTCCTAAGGGTTCACAACAAGTTCCAACTGTCTTCGGGGTGGAGTGGAAGTTGTGTATTCACAAGGACGGACAATTAAAAGCAAACAGACTTGAGCCAAGCAATTCACAACGAAATTAAAAGATAAAAGCATGAAACAATTGGCATGAAACAAAATTAAGCACACAAAGAACTAGGATAAAACTTAATATGAACTAATATCAAGTTTACACTAGTTTAGAATTAACAAACAAGAAGAAAAAAAGAAAGAAAAAGATTAACGACTGGACAGGAAAATTGGACAGAAAACCGGACAGAAGAAACTTCTGATCTTCTGAACCTTTGACTCTCTGGACTTCTAGCAATTGCAGAACCCTTGCCAGCCAAAAACAGCTTCCAAACTGTGTATGTGACTGCTCAAAATTGTTCAAGAAAATCTGATGTTTAGTCCAAACAACAGAAATCAGCAGCCCCAATAGTTGTCCAAAACTGATGCAAAACTGGTGCAAAGCAGGTGTGAAACTGGTGCAAAGGTGGTTTCAATAGCAAGCTCAAATGTTGGTCCCAACTGATAGTTAGCTGAGTGGAAAATTTCTGCAAAACTGCTGCAGAATCAGCTGTAAAATACTGCAGACTTCAGCTGTTAAATTTGCAGGACTTTACTGTGAAATAGCTGCTCAAATTCTGCTGAACTGATGCCCAAAACAGTGCAGAAATTGCACTCAAACTATACAGAAAATTTGCAGCAGAACAGGAGCACAACTTCAACTCAAAACCACCAACTTTTCTGATAAAAGTTACTCACAACTGTACTAATTTCCCAGGATTCCCTTTCCTTCAAGTACTATCAGGAGGCTGTAAAACTTGACAGTAGCTTATGCAACAAGAGCACTCAATTCAGCAAGGGAACATATCAGAAACGAGCAAATTTCAGCTATCACAAGCTGAACTCAAGCACAGCTTTGAGATATACAAAGGATACTCCCAGAAATTTTATGCACTACAGCCTTTCCAAAACAGAAACCTTTCAATGCAGCTGCAGTTTCATTAAACTATCCAACAGATGCAAAGTAATGAGGTTCAACAACTTTCTGCTTCACTTGAACTACAGCAACTATGCAGTAATTGCAGACTGTTCGGCAACAAACAACTAAGATACAATTTCTAACTCAGTTTCTGCATTTCTTCAAATAACCAGCTGAACTCAAACTAAAATGCTCAAAATTAGGTGAAACTGAAAACTGGTGCAACAATACTGCAGATTTTACAGTCCTCTGATTGTCAGATTTTCTAATTCAATTCTCAACAGACTAGGAAAACTGACTGCAGCCTCAATTCCCAACTACCTAGACACTTCACAATGCAACTTAATCAAGCAAACAGTCAGTTGTAGCATCCACAATTGCAGGTTTAATACCTCAGCAGCAGAAATTACAGCAGCAAAGGTACAGTCAAGAACATAAACTATATCAGCTTTAAATGCCTTGAGGCTCTTCAGAAATGAGCTAAACCAGTGCAAGATTTAAACTATGCAGAACCTGTAACTATTGAGAACTAAAAATGTCACAAATCACCCCTTGTGCTAACAGGTTCTCAATTGAGAACTTCACTGGTGACCCCCAAACTTCAGAAGCAAACACAAATATAAAACCAAGCACTTTATTTCAATCAAATGAACAGCAGCAAGTCGTGTCTTTTGCCCTCAAACTTGTGCAGTATATTCTGCACTGGTGCTTCAGTGAAGTTCTAGTGAGAATACCCTCAACAAGCTGCAAGTTTTTTTCCAAATCTTACTGACCTTCTATAACAGTCCTTCACACACAATCCAACTCCAAACTCACACACAAAATCTCAGAAGCAACAGCAGTGAACAATTTCACTTAGCCTGCATTTCTAAACTATGCAGAGTTTCTCAAAATATAGGTGCAGCAATGAAGTACAGAATTAAGCAAAGCTGTCCAATCTAAGAGTTCAACAATACAGACTAAACTGATACCAATTCTGGAAACAATTCTGGGCAAAAATTTGCAGCAACAAACAAAAGAAGTTGAGCTACCAAAAATGTAGCCAAGAAATCACCAAGCTGCCTCTTAAAATTTCAGAACCATATGCGATCATTATTTCAACCAACAGTAGCTATTCACCCGATTCGATTCAAACTATCAATAACTAGTATCAGTGCAGTAGTTGACACTATCAAATTCAACTCAAAAACTTGACGACAAGTTCTCGATCAAAATTCAATAGCAACAAGAACGAAAATTGAATTTTTAGTTTTTGATTCAAGCACTCAAGCTCCAAACGGACAGTACCAATCAGTTATTCAGCAATAAGTGACGTGAGTCGACTTCACTGATTTAAATCAATCAACTAAGAAAGATCGAGTCGATGTTCAGAAAACTCTCTCCAATATTTTCAGCACATAACTCTAATTTTCGACTTAGAAGAATCAAACCTGATGCTTCTGGAATTGGTTACGTGTCGAGGACGATGCATAGGCTACGCAGCTTCAAACTCAATCCCAGACGTTTGAAGCTGTTCTTCGCGTTCGTCGAGCTTTGAAAAATTTCCGACCAAAATCGCATCAAATAAGTTCCAATCAAGCTAGAACTTCGAATAGAACTTCCCAACAGGTGTAGGGATGAACCCCAGTGACTAATTTGAATAAACACTCACGAAATCGACGAACCCTAGGTCGTCTTCTTCTTCGCACAATCAGCTCAAAATTTCGAACCAAAAACTAGCAAATCAGTTCAAATCGAGCTAATCCTTCCGATTCAGCTTCAAAATGATGTTTCTAACTAGATTCACAAACTCAAATCTCGGAACCGGAGCAAAACCCCCAATTTCGCTTCTGCTGTTCGTCGTCTTAGGGTTCAGAAGCTCAAACCCAGCTTCAATCCAAACTCAAACCAGTAGTTACGAATCGATCGATACTCGATCTTTAGAAGTTTTCAGAATTTTGGAAGGTATTTTCGAACAGTAGCAATTAGGAACAGTAGCGAAATTCTAATTCTGGAAACAAAACATAGCACGGTACATTTTTATTTTTATTTTTGTGATTTTCTGTTTTGATGATAAATACACAAATCCTTGACCTCATAGGAACTATGAACTAAAACACAGATATAGCAAAACACGCGGAATCAAAAATAAGAGCTAGACCTACAATTGATTAAGAGAACAAGCCTAATTAACTCTATGAACTCAATCAATTGTAATCCTAAGCTATTAAAATAAAAGTTAGACCTACAATTGTTGGAACAACAAGAACCAATTAGGATATGAAGCCTAGTTACTTCTATGAACTCAATCAATTGAAATCCTAAGTTATGAAAACTCTCGAGAGATTGGCAACTCTTAAAAACTCGAATAAAGTAATTAAGCAATTATGCATTCACTCTAATTGTTGACCAACTAAGACTAATTTAGCATTAATTAAAGTATAAATAAAGGAATTAAAGATATAAACATAAATACATTAATTAAAAGATAAGGATAGAGTGTGAGACTTACATATCAAGTTTATCATTGATCAAATCTACCAAAAATAAAAGTCTTGAGAGCTATTTATACTAAAGCGGGTATTTGGCTACAAATGACCCAAATACCCCTAAGCTAATTCTAAGAAGGTAAGTATAGTCAATTATTACAAGTATAGTCTTCTTGATCTTGACTACTTTAAAACACTCCAATGCTATGATGTTGACTTGGAAATCCTTATGCATGCCCATCCGACATGTATCACGAATGATAGGTTTGACCAGATGGTTGAGATTGTTAGGCGCTTGGAGCATGTTTGCAGGCTTAAGCGAGAGGAGCGAGAGGGCAAGAAGGCCCGGGGTTCAGGTAGTTTTGGTGGTACCTCGTTTAGAGGTCAGTCACATCACAGTAGAGGTCGTCCTTTTAGGCCCGCTCAGGCAGCTCGTCAGATTCCTCGTAGTTCATCAGTTAGCCAAAGTTCATACACTGCATGCCCAATTCAGTCATCATTCAGTGCACTTTCAACTCAAAGCTCTTACCGTACTCCCTCAGCTCAGGGTTCGCCAGTATCGGGCTCTTCTAGTGGCTATTATGTTTTACGGGGTCCGATTCAGGCCCCACAGTCATTCCTAATTCGAGGTTGCTATGAGTGTGGGGAGTTGGGGCATGTGAGGAGGTATTAAACCCCTTTTCTCAGAGGTCCCGTGCAGCAGAGAGGTCAGACTATGACCCCTGCACCAGTTGTTACACCACCCGTTTAGCCAACTCGGGGTAGGGCTCAATCAGTTCAAGGTCGCCCTAGAGGGAGAGGTCGATCAAGTGGTGGTCAGGCCCGTTGCTATGCATTTCCCGCCAGGCCAGAGATAGTTTCTTTTGACGTCGTGACCACAAGTATTGTTTCTGTGTGCCGCAGAGATGCTTCAGTGTTATTTGACCCTGGTTTGTAACGACCCAACTTGTCGTTTTGAGAATTAACGTTCCGTTCAGCGACTTAAGGTCCCAAGCAACTTCGTAATATGTATAATGACTTGCGTGTGCGGTCGAGTTTGGTTTTGGAAGGTTCGCAATTAAATTGGAAGAACAATCCTTATTTTTGAAGCTTAAATGAAAAGAGTTGACCGGGGTTTGAATTTTGAGCAAACGACTCCGGAATGGAATTTTGATGATGTCAATAGTTTCGTATGGTGATTTCGGACTTAGGCGTATATCCGGATTTGGATTTGGATTTGGAAGTCCGTAGGACAATTTGATGCATTTTGGCGAAAGTTAAAAAAATGGAAGATTTTTAAAAAGTTTGACCGAGAGTTGACTTTATTGATATCGGGGTCAAAATTCGATTCCGAAAATTAAAACACCTCCATTATGTCATTTATGACTTGTGTGAAAAATTTGAAGTCATTCCGAATTGATTTGATACGCTTCGGCGCAAATTATAGAATTTGAAAATTTCATAACTCATAATTCGATTCGAGGCGCGATTCGTTGTTTCAGCGTTGTTTGATATGATTTGAAGCATCGACTAAGTTTGTATCATGTTTTGGGACTTGTTGGTATGATTTGACCGGGTCCCGAAGAACTTGGGTGTATTTTTGGATCATTGGTTGAAAGACTTGTAAAGTTAAGAAATTTTGAATTTGACCATGGTCACTATCGGGTCAAGACGACCTCTTTTCAGTGTTTTGAGTGCGAGAGAAGGTCCGTAGCATGTTTTATAATTGAAATTCATATATGATTTGTGTTCGGGAAGTTCCGAATGTGTTTCGGGGTGGTTTCGGATCATTTCAGAGAAGTTTGGGTTTTACTGATTTCTAGTGAGGCACTGTTCATTCACAATTTGCGAACACCGTTCATCCGTAATTGCGAATACTGTTCATCGCCATTGCGAACATTGTTCATTGTATTTACTGTTCATTCGCAAATGTGAAGTTTTTGTCCGCAAATGCGAACCTGGGCAGAAACTTAAAGATTGAAAATCTTTCATTTCTTCATTTTCGATTGGGATTTTTGGGCGATTTTGAGAAAATCTTCACAAGCTTGGTTGGGGTAAGTGTTCTATATCCGAAAATGATTATATTTCATGAATCTATGGTTATATTCATCATTTAATTCGAGTTTTAATGGAGGAAATTGAGATTTTTGTAAAAGCACCTTTCAAAAGAGAAAATTTAAGATTTGAAGGTCGAATTGTTATCGAAATTTGATAAAATTGATATGGTTGGACTCGTATCGGAATGGGTGTTCAGATTTCATAAAAATTTTATCGGGTTCCGAGAGGCGGGCCCCGCGTTGATTTTTGGTTGGCTTTTTAATGTGAAATTTTAAGTCGATGTTTTATTATCCGAAATTATTTTCGATGAATTTTAATGAAGTTATAGAATTAATTTGGATAGATTTAAGTTGTCCGGAGCTGAATTCAAGCAAGAAGGCTATTTTGGAATATCAGCCTAACTTCAAAAAGGTAAGTATCTTGCTTAACCTTGTGGGGAAAATTTTTCCTTAGGTATTGAGTCGTATGTGCCATTGGTGTAATGTGAAAGCCGTGTACGCGTGCTGGCGAGTACGTACTCGGGCTTATATGTGCAAATTGTATTGGTTTAAAGTCGTAGGAATTCTGAAGTATTAAATTGGAAATTTACTGGCACTTATTAAATCCTTATTTGCCATGCCTAGTTTTTTGTTTGTCGAATTGTTTTATATGATAATTTGGTATGATTGCTACTTGTGATCACCTAATTTTTGACTATATTTGAATTTTTATCACCTTCTACTATGTAAATATTTTCAAAAATTTAATATATATATTTTTAGCTTTGTTATATTTTTTTATATAGGGTAAAAATTAATAATAATTTAAAAGATCAATTATTAATATTAGTATTATTTTTATTTTTATTATTTTTCTTTATTTTTAAATAAAATGAATTTTAAAAAACCCGAAAATAAATAAAAATTAATTTTTTTTTAAAATTGTAGATGGGAATTTAAAAACTAGTAAAAGTAGAAATATAAAATTAAAAAGTAAAAGTAAAAGTAGGTGGAAATTGTTTAATAAAAAAGTAAAAGAAAGTGAAAAATTAAAAAAATTAAAGTAAAAGAATGTGGAAATTTTAAAAAATAAAAAGTAAAAGAAAGTTGGAATTAAAAAAATAAAAGTAAGGGTAGCTGAAATGTTTTTTTTTTAAAAAGTAAAATAAGTGGGAAATAAATAAATAAAAAGTATAAAAGTGGGAATTTAAATATAATAAAAGTAAAAAAAGTAAGAAATTAAAAAATAAAAGTAAAGAAAAGTGGGGAATTATTTTTTTTTAAAAATAAGAAAAATGGGAAGTGGAAATTCTTTTTAATTAAAAAGAAATAAAAAATAAAACAAATCTGAAAATTTCGAAATTTTTTTCTATAAATAGAAGAGAAATGTGAGGATAAAAAGGGAGAAAGAAAGAAAAAAAAGGGAGGAGGGAATGGAGAGAAATTTATTTTCTTCTTTTAGGATAAGAGAATTTCTACTTGTGTCATTCTTTCTTCGTCTTTCTTTCGAAAAACCCAGCAGCTTCACCACCCAAAAACGACCTTTAAACCTCCATAGAACAGCCCTTTTAATACCATAAACTACCATCCAAACTCAGTCGAAACAGTGAGGTTTTTAGTTGAGGTCGTTGGCGAGTTTCGATGCTCCATTTGAGGTCTTGCGTGCGGTCTGAATGAGTTCAAGATTCAAAGTTGTAAAACCGTAAAGTTTCAGATTCATTTTTAAGGCCAACTTCTTATCTTGTTTTGATTAATGATATGAGTTGCTTCTTTTTCTTTTGGTGTTCTTTGGTGTTCATTTATATCTTGAATGAATGAAATTATTCTCTGTTAAACATGCCAATTTTTTAGCTTCCTCTTTCTATATTTATTATAGTTCATTAGCATGTTCTCTTAAAAAGGGGTTCATCCATGAATGGTTTAATGAAATTTGCTAATTGATAAGTGAGTTGTGATTGTTTATAAAATAAAAAAAATAATTTTTTATTAAAATGGAAGCTCAAGCAATGTTACGTCTCTATTTGGTTATTTAGTCATTCATGTGTTAATAAATGAGCTTTAGTAGTTCCATCTTTGTTTTAAACTAAGCTGTCAATTGTCTAAAGTATAGAGTTAAGTTGTTAAACAAGTTTAACTAGAATTATGTCACTGGTGAAGATCCAATGTTTGGGCCTAGACACCTGGGTTGTTGAAGGAAGTGGAGTTGTGAGGTTACTATAAGCTAATGAAGAAAGTTATTTTATTTTTGGGCCAAAACTTGAAATCTGCTAGGCCCATTAATCTCATACAATGGCCCCCTTTTGTAGTTCTTGAATAATTAATTTAATCTATTTCATGCTTTTCTACAATGACATACTCTTATGGTTTTACAAATCTCAAATTAGTTTAAGACAAATAATTTATAAACTTCATAGCTTGCTTTAGGCACGATTAATAAATTATCGTGGCCATGGGTACAGTTCCCGTGGCATAGTCACGATACGTAAATCTCAATTCGAGTGTGCGTTTCACGCGACTTGATCATAACTTCAAATAATAATAATAAACATGTTGTAAATCACGGGTGCGTTTCACGTGGCGCATTTTGCAATGTGTACCAAACGACAAGTGTACGACATCGTAACTTGTTCAAGAAATAACTTCATAAATACTAAAAATTGATTTAAATACATAATTAAAAGCGGTCAAAGGTAAAATGCACAATAGGTTTAAAACAGGTAATAAATCACATAATTAAAAAGTAAAAAAAAAAATTAAAAAAATTAGATAAATAAGTCAAGTATTAATTGTTAAGCGACCGTGCTAAAACCACAAAACCCGGGAGTGCCTCATACCT